GGGGGCTGTTTCCGGCTCAGTGTCCCCTGGTAACAAGCAGGCCGTGACTGCTGGCCCGGGGCTGCCGAGTGGGCGCACCCGCAGTGCCCTGTAAGTGCCCGTGCCCATGCTCACCCGAGTCTCAGGGCAACTGCTGGCTCCCAGCCTGTGCGGAACTGGACGTGAGCCTGTGAGGGCATTAATGTCTGTAAGCAGTACATGCATACCTGACTTGGGCACCTTTTAGTATTTTGAGTCTATAGTTAGATAACTGGGATAGCGGAAGGCCACTCATGGGGGCGGGAGGAAAATAACGTTCTGGAGCCTCAGAGGAACTCGAAGGACAATTAAAAATGACCCCCTTTTCCTGGAGCAATTGCTGGAACAGTCTCGGGAGGAGCCACCAGGACTGCTCCGGCCTTCTGGGTGCCTGTGGGAAGAGCAGCCTTCCGAGGGAGGAGGGGGCTCTGCCACGAAGTGCCCCCAAGGGGCCAAGGTTCCAGGCCGGCCGTAAGCACCCAAGCCTCATCCCGCCTGCAGAGGTTATTTTCTTTTTGTTCTCCTTTGTTCCGTTTTCATTTGCTGTAGGTACTTGTGCTCTGGAAAGAGGCAGAGAGGGAAAGCGAAGTCACCCCCCTCCCCACAGCCTTGCTGCAGTTCCTTTTGTGTTCTTCTTGGGATTTGGGGCAAGCCACCAGGTCCGCCACTCAAACTGCAGTCAACCATATGGGATCCAGCTGCTTTAACCTTCACGCCACCTACAGCCTGCAAATGCTTCTCTTTTATTTATTTATTTATTTATTTATTTATTTTAAGAGAATTTTTTGCTTATAGGACATGTACACTAGTTAGAGAGACAGAAAGCAGGAAATCACCCCCAGGGGGATTAGCCACTCCACAATCCCTCCTCATTCTCTTCTTGGGATTCGGGGCACGCACACAAGCCTGGTGTGAGTTTTAAAGCACTGAGTCCGGGATTCAAACTGTGGTCGACTACATGGGAGTCCAATGACATAACCATTACACCATCTGGTGGTCCCAAACACCTTTCTTCTACGGGGAGTTACAAGGGAAGACACATGTCGCCTTGCCATGTATCTGAGCCGAGGGAGCTCAGGTTCCTTCCTCCTGAGGGACATGAGCATCCCCTGTGGTGGCCATTGCTGATGGCGAGCTCTGGACGCGTTTGTGTGTCCGTCGGTCTCAATCTCGCCTGCCTTCTGAAAGATGCTTGGACAGGGTGGAGAATGCTGGGCATCTTTGTTCCCCGAGGACCCGCCACGTTGGCTTCTGCTCGCGCTGCTGTGCCAGCTGCTGCCCCAGCCTCTCTTCGTCAGTGGCTCGCAGCAGTTCTGTGTGACGTGCTCGGATTCAGAGCACCAGCGTTTTCTGCCTCCCACCTTGGGGGTTCTCGTTCTCTCACGGCTCACTGACGTTCTGGGTTAGGACTTTCCCAGTCCTTTTTATTATTTGTTTCATTTTCATCTTTTTATTTTTTTCCTTTAATTTTTATTTATTTATTTTTAAGAGATTTTTTCTATAAGGTGAGTGCTTGCCAGAGAGACAGAAAGCAATATATCACCCCCGGGGAGGATGGACACGCCACAATCTCTTCTTCATTCTCCTCTCAGGATCTTGGGCACGCATGCGCATGCACCCGGCATGATTTTAAGCTGCCAGGTCCAGGACTTGAACTACAGTCGACTACATGGGAGTCCAGTGATGTAACCATTAATGCCATCTGCTGGTTCCAACCATTAGTGATTTTCAAGTTGTGCAGTTATTTGCACAAACAAATAAGGGTTCCTTTTTCACGAAGGTTGTTGGGGCCAAAGTGGTGACCAATGCCCGCAGTCCTGGGGCTCGCTGCTATGGGTTTGTCACCATGTCCACGTCCGATGAGGCCACCAAGTGTATCAGCCATCTCCACAGGACTGAGCTGCACGGGAGGATGATCTCGGTAGAGAAGGTAAGACTTTCTTTCTCGTGTGTTGAGACCCCCACATGTGATGTGAGATAGCCTGGTCTCCGAATCATTTCTGTCCTTTTCATATTTTAGGCCAAAAATGAACCTGCCGGGAAAAAGCTGTCTGACAGAAAGGAGTGTGAAGTGAAGAAGGAAAAAGTGTCTGGTGCCGACAGACATCACTCTGTGGAGATCAAAGTTGAGAAGTAAAGTGATGTCGAAAGACCTTTCTCTCGGGGTCCCTGGGGTGAGGGCAGGTGGCAGGCAGGGTGGCCCTCCTGCGGGCAACATCGGCCTCCTTCACACGCATGCCACACCAGCTTTGTGTTTGCACCCTAACTGACGTTTTCTGTCCCGCTGCCAGCTCCGCTCGTCTGTTCACTCAGTTTTCCATACCTGCAAGGGGGTATGGCCGTACCACTGTCCCTTCTGCTCTGGGGTCTGGGCACACGTGCAGCTGTGCCCAGAGTATGTCTCCGTCCACTGGGTTCAGGGCTTGAGCCATGCAACCAGCCAGGTTTGGTCCAGCCACCTTAACCGCTGAGCACTGGTGGCCCTGGCATTGCGTTTTTTGGAAGGGGAAATGAATTTGATTGTTAACCAAACCCATGTGCTCTGTTTTTGTTTTTGTTTTTTTTAAGAGTGATTTTCGATATAGGGTACGTGCATTTGCTCGAGAGCCAGAGAGGGACAGAAAGCAAGAAATCACCCCTAAGGAGGATGGCCATGCTGCAGTCCCTTCTTCTCCATTTTCCTCTTGGTGTTTTTGGCACACACACATGTGCTCGGCATGAGTTCCAAGCCTCCAGGTCCAGGACTTGGACCCTGGTTGCCATGGGGGGTCCTGAGCAGTGTAACCATTGCGCCATTCACTGGTCTCCATGTGCTTAATTCTCATACACGCCATTTGTTGCTTATATTTAAATTTTTTTCTCAAAATGAATATTGTTTCTAAGATGACAGCTCCATGCTACAGAAGTTTAAGAGGGAGAAGTAGTGAGGTGAGGCCCTGGGAGAGGTTTCTGTGACTGGAGCTCTGCCCAGGGCTGCTGGAGAGAGGCCGGGAAGTGCCCGGTGGGGGCCCCTCCAGGCCTCGTGTTGGCCTGGACTTGAGCTCCGGGAAGTGCCTGGTGAGGACCCTGCGGGCCTCGTGTTGGCCTGGACTTGAGGTCTGGGTCTGGGCAGAGAGGCCGGGAAGTGCCTGGTGGGCCCCTGCGGGCCTCCTGTGTTGGCCTGGCCTCCAGCACCGGGTGGGTGCAGTTTAGTTGCCAGAGACACAGTTGAGGAACGTGGGGAGCAGTCTGAATGGCTGAGATGATTTACTGACCTCACTGCTGTGAGTAAAACTGCTTTCGGGGCCAGCAGGTGGCATGGTAATTACGGGGATGGACTCCCCCATGGCCTTCCATGGTTTGAGTCCTGGACCTGGCGGCTTAAAAATCACACTGGACTCATGTATGTGGATAGTGCATGGCCATCCCCCTTGGGAGGGGTTCTCTCTCTCTCTCTCTCTCTCTCACTCTCTCTCGCTCTCTTTCTCTCTCTCGCTCTCGCTCTTTGTCTTTCCGGTGTGCACATAGACCCTATGACAAAAACCTTAAAGAAGCAAACCCCCCAAAAAAAGCCTGCTTTCGGTAGAAATGGGACTCAGGTTCCATACCTGTAGGCCTCTAGTATGTCATTTTAGCTCCCAGAACCGTGCAGGAATGACCAGTCACTGCTGTCCAAGGGGCAGACGGCCAGCTACTCTGCGGTGGGGACTGGGCGTCCTCGGACTCCACTTCTGCCCTCCGCAGTGCTGTGTTTATTTGGAAAAGTGTTTTGCTCTATGGCCTTAATGACTGCGCCACGCACAAGTGAAACAGATTTCCATTTCAGAGTTGTGTGTGTGTGCCGGCTGCACGTGGGGATTCCGCGGGGTCCTGTGTTTCCCTTCTCTGACCTCAGCCTCCCGGGTAGTTGGGACCACACACACCTGGCTTTCGAGGGTGGGCCCCAGAATGGGACCTCGGCCTTCCACGTGGCCTCAGCCTGTAGAGCGGCAGCGTCCAGCCTACGCAGCTGCAGCTGGGCCTGAGGTTAACGTGTGCAGACGTCACGGGGTGCTCCTCGTGCATACTCACACCTGACCGACATCGCAGTGCATCTCCCACTGGGGACCGACATCGCCCAGCCTCCAGCCTTGTCACACGTACTTGCAGGCTTAGCACATAACTGCAGTGGGAGCTGCAGCTGAAGAGGAGTGTCGTCGTCCCCATAGTTTGCAAGTCATTTTCCCACCAGCTGTCATCAGAGTGCCTCGTTTGGTGTGGACACCATGAGTGTGTGCAAGGGACGCTCAGCCTGAGCTGTTTCTGTGGCAGACTCAGGACTCACGTTTGATAACCGTGTTTTTCATAGAACTGTCATTAAGAAGGAGGAGAAGACCGAGAGAAAGGAGGAGAAAAAACCCGAAGACATTAAAAAAGAAGAGAAAGACCAAGATGAGCTGAAACCGGGACCTGCAGATCGGTCTAGAGTCACCAAATCAGGTGACTATTTTTTTAGAGGTTTTCGCTGTAGGGCACCGTGTGCTCTTCAGGGAGACAGAGAGAGACAGAGTGAGAAATCACCCCCCGGGGGGGATGGCCACGCCGCAATCCCTTCTCCTCTCGGGATCTTGGGCACGCACGCACACATGCCCAAGTTTTAAGCCAGTGGGTCCGGGGCTCAAACCGCAGTTCACTACGTGGGAGTCCAGCACATAACCATTATGTCATCTGGTGGTCCCAGAGTCTTTTATTTTTACTTTAAGAATTATTTGATTTAACTTCACTTATTTATTTCGATTTGACCGGAGAGGGACAGAGTGAGAGAGAAAGAGAAAGCAAGCCGCCGGGTCCAGGACTCGAGCTGTGGTGAGCCATGTGGCAGTCCATTGCCTCCAACCACCCGGCCACCTGCCAGCCCACCCCCTCCCCGAGTCTTTTGTTTTTAAACCTGTTATTTATCTATTTCGTCCATGAGAGAGAGAGAGTGGGAGAGAGACAGGCGCCCTCAGCAGGGTCCTCGCACCGTGATCCTCCCATCCCGGGCTGCCAGGTCCCAGCACGCTCGAGCACTGCCAGGAGGCTGGCCCAGGGACGCGGCCAGCCCTGTTTCCTGTCTTACCCTGGGCTTGACATAGGGAGATGCTGGAGCAGTGGCTCCACCCAAGGCGGCTGGGTCCCACGTGGCCGCCTGTGCAGTTCAAGCCCAGGCCCAGAGGCTTGAAGAACACTCTGGGTGTGTGTGTGCACGCCCCACGTCCTGAGGGGAGGGTGAGAGGCAGTTGTGCTATCCCCTGGCCTCCCCAGTTGCAGTCCTGAGTGAGGAGTGAAGCTGAGCCTGAGCTGTTTCTGCAGACTCAGAGCCTGTGTTCGCCTTCTCATTCCCTCTCTGACTAGGGCACGTGTCCTTTGGCAAATAAAAAAATGTAGGGGACCAGCAGGTGGCCGGCGGGGAAGGCACTAGACAGTCCCACGTGGCCAACCACGGTTTGAGTCCAGACCTGGTGGCTTGCCTTCTCACTACTTTCTCTCTCTCTCTTTCTCTGTGTCTCACTCTGGTCAAATTAAAATAAAATGAATGAATGAATGAAATGAAATAATTCTTTAAAAAAAGAAAAGAAAAGAAAAGAAATGTAGAGTGAACTAAAACCGCAGGACGTCCGTGTCCGCTGATGTGGCTGTATTCAGAAAATACTGTCGCCATTTCGTGGCTGTCAGGGTACTTCGGCCAGAGCAGCCCCTGCCCTGAAGCCCCGAGGCGGGCTGGGGAGGACGGAGACAGCCTGGCCACCTGGAGCGCTGACACTGGGTGCGGCGCAGTATAGGTTGGTGCTTAAGTGCTCGGGTAGTTTTCTGCAGTCTCATGAGAAACAGGTTTTACATGTGCATCAGTTGTTGTAAATCTCCCCAAAGAAGTCACAATCCTGGTGCTTCCAGCCTTGCCGTCATGTCATCAGGAATGAGTTAGTTCAGAAGCTTTTATTGCTGTAGACAAATGAGGGGGAGCCCCCATCTGCCGAGGCGCTCTCTTGGAGATGGCAACGCTGACCCGCAGCCCAGGGGCCTGCATCTGCCAAGCCTGGGCGAGCAGGGGGCTGTACATTGACCCTCCTGGAGCTCCTGGGACTGCAGGCGGGTGCGTCTGTGTGCATGTTGTAACATATACTTGGACCCCAGTATAGGCTGTGGTGGGCCACGGTCAGACACTACCCTGCAGCTGTGCCATGAACCTTTAGGGCACACCGGCTACTCGGTCCCCAGGGTTGCCATCCTGGTCTTCCGAGAAGGGGGAGCAGAGGCTCCAAGGTCTGCCGCTGGGCACTTGGCCTCAGCCTTGAGCACCCATGGCACACCCGGGTGCTCTTGGCCCAGGAAGTGGGGCCGGCAGCAGGTTTTCACAGACTGCTCTGTTTTTTCCTGAAGGAAGCAGAGGAATGGAGCGGACAGTCGTGATGGACAAGTCGAAAGGAGAGCCTGTCATTAGCGTGAAAACCACCAGCAGATCCAAAGAGAGAGTAAGTGTGTCCCCTGCCGTCGCAGTCCTAGCTGCTTTGGAATTGGGCTTGTTCTCCTTTGTCCCCACCCTCAGCCATCCTGCCAGAGTCCCCGTGCCGGGACCGTAGCACCGGCTCTGAAGTCCTCAGGAGGCGTGTTGCTACTGCTGAGGTCATACGTGCAGACACCGAGGGCTGAAACCTCCTTCCAAATGACTCTTGGCCTCGTCTGTGTCCCTTAGCGTGAACCCCTTGCTGGTCCACGGGCCTTGTCAGGGTGCACCAGCCCTCCCTCCTGCTGGCCAGTCGGGTCACCACTCACTCCCTTGGTCAGCTTTCTAGCCATCTGCCGAGGCCGCCAGGACCAGAGCCCAGCCCCAGCTGAGCCTGTCACGTTAGCAGATAGTGGGGGCCGCGTTTCTTCCCTCGTACACGCAGCTGGGCCGGACGTGGCTTCTCGTTTCGCTTTTCCACTCTAGAGAGCAGACAGACGGCCTCAGCCGCAGGTTCTTGCTAAAACGTTGAGGGGCTGACGAGTAGCCTGGTGGTTAAGGCACTGGGCTCCCACATGGCCGACGAAGTTCAGGTTTCGGACCTGGGGCCTGCTCTCTCACTTTGCATCTCTCTATCCCTCTCTGGTCAAAGTAAAATAAATCAAATAAATAAATTTTAAAATTCTTTAAAACAAAAATAATTAACGAGGAAAGCAGTGCTCCTGTGATAAATACAAAGTTAACAGTGTTCCTTCAAGAACACTTTCGTTAAGAATTTATTTTAAAGTGAACATTTGGGGCTGGCCTTATGGTTAAGGGATGCAGATCCCACGTGGCCAGGGTGTGTGCATGCGTACCCCAAGTCCTGGCAGGCAGTGTGACCGCTTTTCATTGAGGGGTGTCTCTCCCTTTCCTTCTGTCACTTCTCTGGCAGACACACCCTCCCTCAAGCGGTAAGCACAAAATCAGTGGCTCCTGTAAAGCGGCAGTTCTTGGTACCGGGTTACGTACAGACTCCATGAAAATCATGACATACAGAAATCTAGAGAAACGTAATGTCCACAATCTCATCACTCAGATAACTCTAGAGTTTAAAGAAAAGAAAGGGGGAAAAAAAAAACAGAATAATGCATACATGATCAGAACATTCAAACGAGGGGACTTGGAAAGGTTGATGGGGGACCAGCAGTTGGCATAAGGGCTGTCGCTGGACTCCCACGTAGTCGACCACAGTCGGAGTCTCGGACCCAGCGGCTTAAACTCATGCCAGGCGTGTGCGTGTGTGCCCAAGATCCCAAGAGGAAAATGGAGGGGAAGGGGTTGAGGTGTGACCATCCCTCGGGGTGATTTCTCGCTACCTGTCTCTCTGTCTGGCAAGCGCAAGCACCCTATTACAAAAAACCTTCCCCCCCCAAAAAAAAAAAAAAAATTGATGGGAAATGAAATTAAGATGCAGGTTTATTCTTGGTATGAGAACTTTAAAGGGCCGACGAGTGGTGTGATTGAGGCACTGCACTCCCACATGACCAACTGCAGTTCGAGTCCTGACGTGGCTGACCTGGACCTGGTGGCTTACTTTCTCACTTTCCTGCTCTCTCGCTCGCGCTCTGTCCCTCTCTGGTCAAATTTAAAAATAAATAAAGTTAAATAATTCTTTTAAAAAATTGTTTTTTAAATTCTTGAACAATTTTTCTTTCTTTTCTTTTTTGCCATTGAGTATGTACTAGCCAGAGAGAGGAGAGGGGAAAGCGATAAATCATGCCCTGAAGGGGGTGGCCATGCCTCAGTCCCTTCCCCTCCGTTCCCCTCTTGGGCATATGTGCCTGGCGTGTTTGTCAAGCCATCGAGTCCAGGACTCAAACCTCGAAGCCAGCCATGTGGGATCCAGTACTTTAACCACCATACCCTTTTCTTATTTTCATTGCCAAAAGATGCATGCACTTGCCAGAGAGAGGAGGAGGAGGGGGAGAGCTCCACTCCCAGTGCCCTCCTCCGTTCCTCCATCCTGTCAGGATTTGGGGCACGTGTGCACGTGTGCCCAGCATGTGTGTTCAAGCCAGCAGGGCGAGTCTCGATCTAGAGGCCCACGAGTGTGTTGGAGACCCGTAGAATGGGGAGACCAGCCTCGGTGTCCACGCGGGCTCCTCAGGCTTCCTCTTGTAGGTCCTCACACATCCATACCGTGGGACCCCAGCCAGAGGGGCTGGCCGAGAAGTGCCGGTGTGCACCCAGCCTCTGTCCTGTGCCTGGAAGGTCTCTGCCTACCGGGCCGCCGCGCTCTCCTTCCCTATTGAACTTTGTTACCGTGGAATGCTCGGCGTGCTCTTCAGAAAGGCTGTGGAGGGGGCCCCGGGGAGGTGCAGGCCACGCTGGGGCTTAGCCACGCCGGGGTCTGTGGCCCTCGCCGTGGGGCCGCCCTGCACACACAGCTGTGCGTCTTAGTCCACAGTCATGCTGCCAGACGGAGACCTCTGAGACCGAGCGGTTTGTAAACCTTTGGCTCATGATTCTGGCAGCCATGAAGGGCACGGGCCTGGGGCTAGCGTCAGCATGCAGAGGTGGGAAGGGAGTGGCCTTGGGGCAGCTGACGCGTGGCAGCCCCTTCCGAGAGCACCTGCCCCTCTGCGAGATGGCGCTGTCATGTTATTTCAGTCTGTTCGCGAGGGCGGTGCTTTCCAGACCCCACCCAGCAGCGGAGCCCGCCTGGAGCACTCGCCGGTCGCGGGGAGCGGCCTGTGCCTCTGCCCCTTCCCCATCCTCCCTTCTGACTGGGAGGATGATACCTGGTCCTGACCTTTGCCGTCTCCCGGATCGCGCTCTCTTTCCACCCTCATTTCCTCCGTGAGCGAGTTAGTGAGCTTAGGCGCTTGGTACACCAGCACCTCCCGAGAAGCGGAGGCTGCGGGCCAGCCCGGGTTCTCCGTGTTCCGCAAACGCTTCCTGGGTCCAGTCCGGTGAGGTCTTGGAGACGCTCGGCCAGGGGAGGCAGCGGTAAGGGTTTCGGGCCCTTTCCCACCAACCCATCACGGAAGCTGGCCGTTGGCGGTGTGCGTGCCTGTCGGCGCTGTCTCACACTGGAGCAGCCAGGCAGCCGGTCAGACTGACAGACCGCGTGGCCGTGTGGACGTGCTCGGCCCAGAGAAGCCTGGATGGCTAGTCCAGCAGGCCGTAGCTCCACCGTGTGGGAATTGCAGGGGCTTTTCCAAGGTTTCAATCAGCCTGTTCTCTTTTACCGCCCAAATGTTTGAAGGCAAGACTCCGGGCAAAGCGCGGGTGTGGACCTGGATCTAGCTGGCCTGCGCGCAGGGCTCAGGTTTGGGACCACAGCCTCCCGTGCAGCCAGCGCTGTGGCACGCTCACTGTGTGCCCCCGCCGTCTTCCTGGTGTTGACAGATGAATTCTGGGGAGCAGAGCACCAAGAGTCAGGACCGGGCGTCGCAGAGCAGAGAGAAGAGGGACATCTTGTCGTTCGATAAGATCAAAGAACAGAGGGAGCGGGAGCGCCAGAGGCAGCGGGAGCGAGAGATCCGGGAAACGGAGAGGCGGCGGTGAGTGGCCGCGCCTGCGGGCTTGGCGCAGCGTCCTCGGGGGGCCGTCCCCTCCCGGATGCCCGCCTGTGGGTGGTTGTCGCTGCCGGGAGGCCCAGAGACCACAGGTTCTGCCCAGCCTCGGGTCCCCACGCCTTCCCAGGCTACATTCAGAGTCTCACTGTCATTTTATTTTTTTCTTAGGATTGTTTTATTTAACCGTAATTTTTTATCATTTTTTTAATTTAACTTTATTCATCTATGTTGATTTGACCAGAGAGAGGGTCAAAGTAGAGAGAGGGTGAGGGAAAGTGAGAAAGCAATCTGCTAGGTCCACCCTTAACCACCACACCACCTGCCGACCCTACATTTATGTATGTATGTATTTTAACTGGACCATAAAAGGGTAGAGCGTGCAGGAGACAAGACAGTGAGGGAAAACGAGAAAGCATGTCACCAGGTCTAAGACTCGAACCGCACTCTGTCATGTGGGAGTGCCCTTCACCACCACGCCACCTGCCAGCCCTT